TTTGCCCCTTGAAAAAAACCAACAATTTTCCTACTTTAAATTGACTTCAGACTCTTTTTTTCTAATCTTCCAAAGGCCAATAGAGATTCGTGAATCTGGATTCTTGTTGAAAAAGAACACAGTAGACATATTAACTTCGACAATAGGCAAACGTATTGACGAATTTAGATACCATAAAAAATCAAAAAGCTTACTCAGAACCCATAGTTCCTCGCTGTGTGTCAAATGTCTGATTTCGTTTCGATATTTTATGAAAACGACGAGAATCGAATCGTAATTAGTTTGCAGGTGAAAAAATAATAATCGATGTTCTCGGCTTTTGTGTCAATGCTTCTACGTAAGATAATCAAATCGTTAAATCAACACATGCCACTGTATTTCAAGAGCTTTAGGACAACTAACTAGTCGAATATTTCTAGGTGAAGCAGCTGTGGGATTATCTATCCGATCAAATGATGAAAAACGTGGAATATTTATTACTGTGCATTAGTTTTCCAAACATTTTAGTTATTGTAGACGAAATCGATGACAGAAGTTTTACCTTGGAAGCGAGGCTTTTACAAAATGGTAAATGGAAACGAAACGCGAAGAAAGCTGAATGTGACAGCTCCTTCGGCATTGTTCTATCAAACAGCATTCAAAGTCTTAAACCATCTACCTCTCTGCAAAATCGAGGAACTTCTTTGGAAGCAATATAGTTCGGAATGTTTTTACGTTATTGATAAATGTGTGATGACTATACGAAGCGCAAATAAAACGTTAATCGACGGATGGAATGCTAATTAAGACCCCTTTTACACAGGAGAAACGGAATCGATCTAGTTTGGGATCGATCCCAAACTGGATCGATCTGTAAATTTGGCTTGCGTTTACACGGGATCGATCCCAAAACATCATGTGTTTACACGGGATCGATCCCAGATCGGCCCCTAGGGAGGAACGCACATGCGTATTGCTTATGTAATTAGCAACACAAAGAAGAAGCGTTGGTAGCGCCAAATTTGTAGGGAGATTGACAACAAAATGGTTTCGAATACCAAAAGTGGTAACAAAATGTTTATTTGGAGCGACAAATTAATGGCCCTACTCCTGAAGATCACGCTGGAGTACAAAACTTCAAAGTTAGCCGATGGCCAGGACTGGGAGACTATTCGTTCTAAGTATGAGGACATCTATAAAAACTTTATAGCGGCCTACCCAAATGAGGAGAAAAGGGGGTGAAGCGTTTCCAACAGGCGACACTGCCTTAATCTTTGTCGAGAATAAATCATTCCCAAAAGTTGAAGCCTGTTCGCTAAATTTGTCAATAAAGTTGTAAAGAAATTCCTCCATATTGTTTCGTTTTTCTCTTCTGGTGGGCGAGAAAGGAGAATGCGCGCAAAATCTGATGGAAAAAAGCTCGTAGAACCATGTTCAAAGCACCTCCAATTGGATTATTTATTAGACTCGTTTCCTATCCGTGCCAATTTGGGATCGCTCCCACCTTTTCGAGCGTTTACACGAGACGGGATCGATCCCAAACTGGAACGCTTACCAAAGCGAACCCAAATTAGCACGGATAGCGGATCGATCCCGAGTGTTCCCGTGTAAACGGAAGGCCGATTCGTACAAGTTTGGGATCGATCCCGGCCTGGATAAACGGGGTCTAAACAAACACCATAAAGAGATGATAGCTGCGATTGCCCGCCAGCGATGTTAATTAATTGATGAAATACTTATCAAATTTTACTTCAGCTAGAGAGGTCTATTGATAAGGGCTTCATTTCATAGAGGCACGACCTTCTGATAATCAATTTTACTCATATTAATAAACTTTTCGTTCATGGCCAATAAATACTTACTTCGTTACTTACCTTCTACCGTAGATTGCTAGTGGGTTAACTAAAATATTCTTGCTATAACTTACGGTTGACTTGTAAAGAAATGGAGCAATGAATCCCTTACCTCGAAACCTGATGCCGAATTTGCGCCACAAATGACTTTGGAGTTGGTGGTGGCTCCTGAAAAAGGTATCACATTCATAAAAATATGAATTCAGATGACCAATAAAGAAATTTCTGTTAACTCTAAATCATTCCTTTTGTCCTTCTGTTAGTAGCTTTGTTTCTGCACTGATAGGTTGAAAGCTAGCAAAGTCAGCTAGCACTGTTGGCAAAAAATGCCTTATACTGTCTTAGCAAACAGAAGGTACTCATTTCAGAATAAAGAAAACCGAATATATTTCATAATGCCCAGTTTACAGGAACGTATAAACTGTGAACACCAGAGGATCGTTGTACTCCTGGCTAATTTGATACAGAATATGTTTTACCAAAATTGAAAAGCTCCTTAGAAGCTATCCACATCAATGGTGCAGTTTTTGGGTCAAGTCTTGAAACATTCAAAAATGGAAACACATGTAAATCTCCCTTGTTCTTAACATATTGGTGTGAAAGTGTCAAATGGTGTCATATTAGGGTTAAAGCAGTGGAATTTCTAGCTCTTATGCTCAAGGGGAGTGTTCAGGCCTCATTAGCCATAAGAATAGGTCCGTCCTTGCCAATAAAATTGAAAATTCACCGACAATAATAAAGCATCCCCCGTTGACCAAAACTCCACGTTTGTGAGTTGGATATTTTTAGGGGGTTTCACAGCTCAGAGGTTTAAGGGGTTTAAAATTACATTTTACAGTAGTCTATCCTCAGCTGGTTCTTAATTTGTTCCGAATTTTTGACCAATCAGAGGCTGGTGCTCCCATAAAATTATTCTTACAAAAAAGAGTTAATTTAGTGGTGGTTTGGGGAAGGGGAAACTAGCAATAACGGTCGGTGAGCATTAAGTTGCAAACAATTCAAAGAAAATGAGCCCCCATCTCGCCAAAATATTCACAAGGTGGACGAAATGAAACCCGTCACTGTTGAATTGAAGGTCACAGTATCATAGAACTTTAAAAATGAATTCTACGAGATAAACCGTTCTTCCTAATCCGGCCTAATAACTCGGGTGGTTTTCAAACTTGAGGGTGTCAAGGATGTCTCACTCAATTGTTGGCAAACGAGGCCTGAAAATCTCCCTAGAGCACACTAGCTAGCAATTGCACCGCCCACACCCCACTATTAAGAACATATTAAGAACAAAAAAGCCTTAGACTTTCGAAAAAATTATGAGCAACAAGCCTCAAATTCAATTTACTGGTTCTTACAAAAAAGTGTAACAATAATCTTTAGAGAAAGGATTCAAATTACAAAAATATACGCCTAGGTCAATAAAAGCTAAATTTAACAAGATATTTGAAAGGATCACAGTTATTCAATACATTTTTAGGCCAAATTAGGAATGCATTGAATGTGTTGTGCAAACTAACACATCTTGAAATGTGAAAAGCAGCGTTTGGACGAGGTCACTCGTCTTAAAATACAGCCTGCAAGCATTATTATGCTACACAACATTGATAAATTTTTACCAACATTTAAAGAATGACAATGTTAATGAAAGAACGGCCTCTTAAATGACAATGTTATGAATATCTTAGATTAAACAACTGAAGGTACGACCGTTATAAGTGTTGTATAGTAATTTCCTGTATGCAAAGTATTTTGTGACATTTACTTGTAAAATTTTATTGGAAATATATATAAAAAACTTGATTAAAACTCTACTCATTCAAATAATAACATTTTGTAAATACAAGGATTGGCGAGTATAGAAACAGCTAGAAATGTGACATATTTCTTCAGCATGTTTATAAAACAGAGATGTTTTGTCACAGGTAACGCTTAACCTTTAGACGCAATACTGAACATTAGTGGCAACAGAAAAAGTGCCATGCGATCTTTCCTTGCCTCGAGGCATGACCTGACATTCAGAAGCCCCAGTTTTCTTTCGACTGAGTATTTTTTGCAGAAAACAGACAAGCAGAAATTCTAACAGACATGATTTAAAACAGCTCTTTGCACCCAAAAGTTGCAGGAGCCGTTTAAGAACGAACAAATGATAAAAAAAGACTTTACAACACGTGAATCGAAATCGAGTGAAGTCTTCCTATACCTTGCAATGTCACATGTCATTGCACGAAGGAAACATCTGACAAAATTTCAGGCAAAAAAACGAATTTTACAATTCATTAAGAACGTCTGAGAAAGACAAGTATTTAGCACGCAAAAGAAAACTCACCACTCGTTTAACATCGGCAAAGTAATTTCTTGCTCGCTGAAATAGAAAAATCAGCTTTTAATTCGATTAACTGTTCAATTTAATCCTTAATATTCTAAATAAAGATTTTTCTTAATTCTTAATCTTGAAATTAACACAAATCACTTTTAAATTAAGTTTTAGAGTGAAATGCAAAAGGCAAATCGATGTCAATAACAAAAAACAAAAAATCCTTATTCATCGTTCCAGGTTAGCGTTGTCAATTTTTTACCTTCACATTTGCCACAAATGGGCCAAAGAACTGGAATCTTCATACTAAAATTCGAGGGGCAAATCACTCTAAGAAAATCTCGTACACCTTTCGTGAAAATCCTATTTTTTTATCTGAAAATCCCCAGAAATCCTTTTGTTGTAGGCAAAATCTCGTACGCTATTTCCAAGAGTGAATCACCCCTCGCTAAAATTAGTCTGTGCCGAAAATTTTTTGTGTTTGTACAGACGAGTCACGATTTACGCCGTATTCAAAATTTAGCATTTCCTATACATTATAGTGAATTTTATTTCTGCAGCAATATGTTTTGCTGAGGTCAATTTTTGACAAAGGCATGTTAACAGCGAGATGAAAAAACGATGACGTCAACTCGGAACCGAGAATTTTTGTGTTTTTTATTATAATGAGTGCAGACAAGCAAAAAGATGAGATGCAAAGTAGGTATCTTAAAAGAAATCAGCGAGCACTGCCTGAAGGTAAGGGAATGCCTAGTTTTCAATTTTCTACGTCATGTCGAGTATTTTCTATCATAATATCAAAGTTTGTTGGCAACATTTTATCAACATAAATGAAAAGGCTTGCAAAACTGCATCGAGTTTTCTCACGCCAATCTGAGCTAGGTCGTTGAAATCTTTCTTGTCAAAATTTAATTTGTTACACAAAATATGCAATGAAATAGGAACCGAAAGGAAACTTATGATCTTAAAGGAGGATTAAATTGCCGATGAAAATAATATCAAATCTGCAAAGATTTGTGTCAAAGCAGACAAAACATGATGATTGGACTGGATTATAAATAAAAAAAAGATTAAATAGAATTATTATTTTGACTGATAGCGAACAATACATATTTTAGCGAAATAAATGCCGGCTAACACACAGCTCGTCCTTGCATAAAAGAAACATAAAAAATCTTTGACTTAGAATCATTTCTACGAGACATAAACCTCACAAGATTTTTCTCAATGCAGTAAGAGCAATTCCCAAAATTTTTTGATCATCGACATCCAAGTTTGTAGTTATCATTAACCCTCTTTTTCTTATCTAAAATTTTCATTTCCTGTGATTACCGTCGTTAATTCGTTTGTGATTTCATTTTAATCTCACGTATATCTAAACTGGATAAAAACACTTCAACATGCAAAAGCTGTTGTAAATGTATGTCGAGTAAGATAAAATATAAACCAAAGAAAAATTATATAATGCCATTAAAACCTAAAAAAAGACATGAAAACATAAAAATGAGATATTTTTACAATGGTATGGGATTGAAATATGAGAAGGGAATTACTTGTAATACGTATCTAAAAATCTAAAATTTTAATTTATTCAAGCTATAAGGTCCTAGCATTAGCATATTAGAATTTTTACCGCAATGAAAACGAAAACTTTTTGCTGGCATATTCAGTTGTATTCGTTGCCAGTCGAATCATCTTGTCGCTGTTTCGCGTGCTTGTATAGTGTGAGAACAAAATAAAGCATTATTTGAAAGGATCTATCACTTCTCCGTCAAGGCAAGAATTTACAAATAGACAGGCTCGCTTTTTGTTGGTGGTCGACTGAACGAATTTTCTTAGATTTCACTTCTTGTTAACTCGTTTACTTCTCGTTAACTGCTAGATGCCCCAAAATCATTATTTACTACCGTTTCATACAGAAATTTTCGAAACAATTACACTCTTTTTTTTAATAAGAACCAGTAAATTTAAGTTCAGGCTGACTGTTCTTAATTTTTTCGAAAATCTGGGGCTGGATTGTTCTTAATTTTTTCTTAAATTAAGAGGGTGTAAGCAGTGCTATTGCTAGCTTTTTCGCTCTAAGTAGGTGTTTAGGCCTCATTTGCCAACAAAGTGAGTGAGACAGCCTTAATTTGCTGACAAAATTGAATATTCACCGAAAAAGCACCCACACATCGCTAAAAATCCTCGATTTTGAGTAAAAACATTGTTCAAAATTGCATTTTGCAGAAGCTCAGCCTCAGCTTGTTCTTAATTTGTTCTTAACTTTTGGCCAGTTTTGAGGCTCGTGTTCTTGTAAAAAATTTCTTATAAAAAAGAGAGTGTAAGGGAAGAGTAAAATGACCTCCAGCAAATGATCAAGATCGATAAAATGTTGCTTTTTTGACTGCACAAAACTACGCTATAAGATAATAGACGAGGACAAAATGCTTATCAAGAACGGACGCATTAAAAAGGATTTCGGAATATGTTGCGAAATGTGGGCATTTCGGTAACTGTAATTACAAGTTGTTTTCTTTCGATTAATCCAAAGTTGTAAGCTAACTTTCGAATTTTGTCGGTTTCTTTAACGATATTATCGAAACATTGAAATAATATATTGACTGCATTTAGTTTAGTTTGTTCCGTTAGGCTTCTTAAAATATGCGACTGATAATCCGCAGCTTTTGCCGTTCTAATGAGCAGTAGGTAGGCCATATTCCTTTGTTTCTCAAGTCGTTTAGCATTGACTAAGAACTGAACAACCCATCCTGTTATGATATGTTTTTGTCTAATATTTTCATTAGCATATGCGACACTTCATCTTTATTTGCAAACATACACGAACGATGAAATAGAGCTAAAAGATAGCGGCATTGTAGCTTGATGTTATGACGTATTCGAAGTTATGATAAGCTGACCGCTCTTGTGTGTGGAAGGAACCGGGAGAGAATAACCCGAGAGGTTTGGACATATAGGAAGAAATCAATATGGTATAGAAAAAGGGGGAAGACAGAAGGCAGTTAAGGGAAAATGAGCCTCTTCAGAGAGAGGCAGAAATTGCAAGAGAATTAATAAAAAGGGGGAGAAAATGGAATCATACAGACAAGCCTTTTCGTTTCACGCGGGCGATCGCCCTCGCCAAATTATTGACGCGGGCTACCGACCGCCCTCGCAAAAACATGTATCTCCCGCGAGAGAAAGGTAAAGTTAGGGAAAAGTTAGCAACAAATGTCACTATTGTTGTTTTCATTATTATTCAATTCACATCTTCACGAGGCGTCGTCAAAGATTTCACGCGAGGCCTTTTAGCAGAACGTTTTCTGGAACGTGAATGCAATCGAAGTTCGGGGTAGATATCCACTGTTCCGGTCATTTTTTGCCAAAATTCCGCGCTTAAAAATTTTTGATAGGACCTTCATTCAGAGATGTTTTACAAGACAACAGGTGAAGAATTCCACAAATCCTTAAAACTTTCGGCATCATTTTCGAGAAAATATCCGTCCGGCAAAGGTGTAGAATTCCGTCCTTTCGTCCAGAAAGTGCCAGATTTTCGTAATCCGCGACAAAATTTCTTCAAAGTCCATTAAATTTCAAAGTTCCGTAAGCCTTGGTGACCCTCACATCGAACGTCGGTTACTCATAGACGTGAACAATGAATACTGTTAATAAGCAACAATGATAAGAGCTGGACAGCAATGGAAAGAAATCATATAACAAAAAGAGCTGTTGATATTCATTCGGAGGGGAAAAGGTAAGACTATTAAAGAGGAGCCTCTGAGTGAGAGAATTTGTCTTGAAGCTCCAAAAGAATCTGAAAACATAGATAATGCAATCAAGGAGGATGAGGGAGAGAATTTTTAAACCGAGTCGGAATCTATTGTGATTCGTACAATAAAGAAGAAACAATTTGAACTTCTAGATGATGGTTTTGACTGATTTCAAGTTTTATCTCATGTTTTACTCGGCTGGTCAAACTTAACATATTTTCTTTTCGTTCATCCCTAAAAAACGGTATTCCTGACTGAAGAGTCAAGTTGTTAATGAAACAAAGCATCATTTCGTCGTTGTTGACATTATAAATCATTACATCAAATATTTTGGCTACAAACTGGCGGCAATGGCGTATTTAGAAAATCAAAGATTAGGCAGTTGTGGTTAGATAATACCCTAATTCCCCCTCAAGTCCCGAAGCACGGGCGATCGCACTCATAAGCCGATTCGCGCGGGCAGTTTGTTGCCCTTGCGAAAATTTCTTCACGAAAACGACTGCGATACAAAGTGGTTGTGCATAGGTGAAATCGAATTTTAAAAAATCTTACCAATTCAGCTTTTTGGTGCTCTTGCTCCCAATTAGTACAAAGTGTGACAATCTGTGGGAAAAGTTATGTTGAAGTAATTAAAAAGGAGACAAATGAGACATTTAAATCATCGTTTCGACGGGGAAGATCCTTTTAAAATGGACCTTTCTAATCAAGGACAATGTACCAGGCCGTGGCCCCTTTGCTTTCATGAAATTTAACAATTTTACATCTTGGTGCTTTGCCCCCTGCATTTCATAAGTGCAGGCTTCCCTGCTTTTGAAATAGGCTTTGAAAAACAACCAAAATTCAAGAAGACACATATAGACCTAGGAAGTATTTCAAAAGAGAAGTGAGGTACAGATAGATGTCTTGCTCCTCCTGGTGCCAGTGTCTCTTAAGACACGGAATATATTGACTTTCAAAGCAAGGATATTTTTTGTTTGGCAAGACTGCATTGCCATGGATGTAAATTGACAGTTATTTTGGGGAGGATGAAGGAACAAAAACAGAAGAGAGGCAAAAGAACTGACTACATTTAAAAAAGATTGAAGCTGAAGAACTGACTTATTACTGGAAAAAAGAAAAAAAAAACAACTTAAGCTCCGCAATTTGACTCTTCTTTCAGATATTCAGTTAATTACTTTACTATTTCTGAGTAAAAACTGTCTTTTAAATTAGTGCAAATAAAAAAAATTGGTACTGATAGCTGTTATTCTAAGAAATGCTTCAAACAACAAACAATAAACTCAAGTTTACTTGCCAAGGGTGAACAGTCTGTATGACAGAGAAAACCACAAGCTAAAATAAAGAGAAATAAGGATTAAACTTGATTATAGCTTTCAACAGACAAGTGAGAGTTTTTTGCAGTATTACAAAGGAGATCAATGCTTCAAATTTGTGCTTGCATTATCAAATCCTCAATGAGTGACAGAGGCTTGCTAGGAAGGCATGAATTCAAACAAGAGTAAAATGCGATTAGATAATTCAAGCAATTGCTCAAAAAGAAGCTGTTAGCAGATCTGTAAATGATAGGACAGCCTGATGCATCTACCAATGGTTTTATAAGTTGAGCAGCCATCAATTTAGCAATTTTACACCAGCCATCTCCATTTTCAAGGAGTTTCATATAAACAAAATAAGAATGTAAAAAGAGATTATTTCTGACAAAATGCCATAAAATCTGAGGTTTATCTGATTAAAAATGAGGGAGTAAGGCAGCATCGTTTTTTATAATTGCTTTATTCTGTTGGTTGGTAAAAAAACCTATGGTACTTTATCAATGTTTTTATGATGGACAGTACTCTACCTTTCAGAATAACCTCATGAAAGGTCAAGTTAGGTCAATGTTTATAACAAAAGGTTGGGAAGATATTTTTAATTTTTCAAAATTACCTTTGCATTGATCAGATTCTTCCCAAATGATATTTCCACAAAAGTCACAGAATGTTGGCCTCGGAACTCTCACTTTCTTCAAGATGTGAAACATCTGCCCAGTTTGTCTCTAAAAAAAACAAGATCTTTATATAAATCTTAATTAAACGCTGAGCAAAAAACAATTGCACACAGCATTTTGAAGATTTATCTGAAAATTTATCCTTTTGATGCCATAATAATACTTACCTTGCAACTCTCTCTAAGGGCAAAGAAAATGCCTGCCATGGAAGACAGAATCCAGACTTTCTCCTTAATCTTAGTCCTATAACCTACTTTTGCACTGTTTTGTGAGATCCTTTCTCTCATAAAACTTGCTGATTGTTTCTAATCTAGGTTGCAAAACTCCAATACTGTTTGTTCTTTTTTAGTAACAACTATGACCTTACTAAATACTACAAAAAAAGTTTTAGATGCTACAAGCACAACATTTTTCTGCATATGAAAGGTCCATTATATTGTAGTAGCCTGAGGGCACACCTATGATCAGAATTCCATCAACAAATTTCTTATTTGAATCTGTATGGGGCAGCCAAAGGCAGACATAAGAGGCAAACTAAACTTCTAAAAGCAGGGGAAATACACCCATAACAACATGGAACATTCCAATCCAGTAATTTTGGGCTATACATATCAGTATTTAATATCAGCTTTCATGGAAAATGTCAGAGATTCCTACACCAAGAATGATCTTTTGTCCTTTCCTACACCAAGAATGATCTTTTGTCCCTAGACAAACCCTTTTTGTATCTGAATACTTGCAAGGAAATAATTTCATTCCTCAGTTAATGGATTCCAAATATTGACAAACACTTATATCAGCCATTGTTTTAAAAATCAACAAATTGACTTTCAAATCCCTTTCCTCCCAGACAAGGAAAGGTGAACTTGTGATGGCAGCATGATAATACCAAGGCAAGTACAATCATAAACTTTCTAAGACCTGTTCATGACCTTGTGGTTTTGCATGAAAATGGGTCAATCTTATCTTTCACCCAGATTGTTATGAAAAAACCAAAACACTTAACCTTCCATGCTTGTGCTTTACAAAGAGATCTAAGACTTTAATCTTAAAACATTATCCATCACATTTTTTTTATCAAAGACAAGAGGCATGAAGAGACAATTATTGTGGTTACAACTAGCTGACATAAAAAGATTTGTCAGAATCCCTGTTTTCTTTCTCTTGGAACAAAAATTACAACCAAAACTTATACTTATAATAAAAGAAGTAACAACCAAATTGGTAAATATTAGCAAAAACCAAGGTTCAGTGATCTAAACAATGCAACTGAACGGCTCATGCAACTCTGTCAAGTATGCTTATTCAATTTAAAATGTAAACAATCGCACTTTTTCAATGGTTAACATCTCTCTTCCTTTATAAAACAATTGATACCTCGATTTTACAATTGAATTCTCAAGAAGCCTAATGAATGAATGAATGAATGAATGAACTTCATATCTAGAAAATTAGGTCATGTACTGTCTATCAAACCATTTATTGTCATAAGAAAACCTGAGTAGAGGAACGTGCTTTGCAGCAGCCTCTACATAGTGAACTTTATAAGACCAGTGAACTTTCAAATATTTGTGTAGTTAATGCTGAATATAATTTTTCATAGTGCGCTTTATATGTTGAATTCAGCTTTCATGCGCTGCTCTAAAAGTATTTCTATCTAAAGTCATTTTGGTTGGATTTGCGCTCAACGAATGAACAAATGGATAAATTAATGTAAATTAACTGAAAATAAAAGATGTAATGATGATAACGACTAAAGATCAGAAAATCTCTAAGGCAACTCATTAAAAATTCTAAATTAATTTTGCATAAAAAATGATAACATTATAATTGGTCACAAAGCAAGATGAATCCGGCTACATTCTAAAGTCCTGATTCATGTAGATAAGAGGTCAAATAGACATCCTCCCAGGGTTGTATGCAGGTATTCTCTGCTCATTTCAAGTACACAAATCCCTGTAAATGCATAGGAATTTGCTGAACAATTATGCCGAGTGGAAACAAAAAGCTTTTTCTATTCCTAAGGCCTACCTGGTAGCCTCCACCTGTACAGTATGACCTGTTGTGCACTTGCTTGTTCAAAACATCCGCTTGCAATACTCGCTTATCAATTCCGGTGCCGGGGAATTGAATGTAACCGGGTCTTTCATTTACCAAAGAACTGATTTCCTCTTTCCTCTTCGAACGCTGATAAGAGCTATGAAACCGTATCCAGTGATCTTGAAGCAAAGACGATGTGGCCAAACACACCATACAATTAGGACAGATAAACCCTTCGATTGCAGAATCCATCGCTCTCTCTCATCGTCGCAGTTAGGATTCGTGAGCTTCAAAAGTAAGCGATTTCTTAATCGGCTGGCGACTGACCTAAAGGATCGTCAGAACAGTCATTGTTAATCTTTGGATTACATTGTTGACTCCCATAACTGCAATGTTCCTTCTTCCTTTCCCACACTATGAGCATCTCACTTTTATGAAGTTGATTAGGTTAATGAATTGAATAGAATTGAGTTGAATTGCAGAGGGGCGAAGCGAGACCTGATGAAATAGAGAAGGGGGTAGAGGGGATACTCTTTGCTACAACATTTCACTCTGAGCCAGTTAAGGCAAAAATGGAAAATAATACCTATTGGAAATTAAATCAATTCTGGCTGGGTTGATTTATCGCATCAAACTTATGTGAAATTTCGAAATTTCACTTTTATGATTGCAAGGAGCAAGGTTATGATGTCTTATGACAAGTTCTCTAAAAATGGCAACTTTTTGTCTTTTGCTGCAACCAATAAACAGCTCGGGAAGATGTTGGAAGAACAATGTTTTTCAATCTTCTGTACTTAAAATTGGCAAAGTTTTCAGTCAAAAATAACTTACTCTTGAAATTTTGCCTTTGCTAAAAAGTTGTGTTTCTCCAGCATATATATTGCTTGCAATGTTTGTAACAACCTGATATGTTCGCTACAGCTTTACTCTCTAATTTCTCTTAAATTATTGGTTTTTAGGTTCCTTCGAAATTCTTAAAAAGGATTATTCCGAGATAATTCAGCCCCAGAATTGTTTATAAACAAACACAACCGCCACTTCTCATCGAATGGGAAGAGAGCCCGTGTGCGACAATGGTTTTTATTCTTGTCGTTGTGACTGGCATTTCTCTCTCTCATAACCGACGATTTTGACAGCATGGCTGTGTAATTACAAAACAAGCGACTATGTTGATGTCAGAAGCATAGCTTGAACACTGGCAAGTAAATAGTTACCTTCGCGAATGAAATATCCACCCGGGGGTCAAAATATGAGCATTCTCCCCTAAATTTATTTCATAAGCGTATAAATTTATATGCGTAGATATATGACTGGAAATTGGTGTGGGCTATGATCTTTGAACAGTGTACAAATTGAACATTTTCTTTCTTTTAAAGCAAATCAGACTAGCAAAAATTGCATGAAAATATGCGAGTATCTAGGTGATAAAATGAAATAAAATTAGTATAAAATTAAGCTAGTTTCAAGTTTTTTTAACTATTTAGAATCTTGCTTATGAATAAAGAATAATTATTTTTTCTAATTATTTGATGAAAAAAGCCTTTTGGCCACATTCGTCGAAGTTTTGACATCAATAGATCTTTGTTTACCTGACTTTTTCAATACGAAACAATATTATTCTAAAAACGTTATACGTTCCCAAAGTAAACAAAACTTCATAGTAACTTAAGATTTGTCTTCTAAAAACAGGTCGTTTCAAAAAAGGGAAGTGTCTCAAAAATGCTTGCCCAATTTGGAAAATCTGTTGACCGTCAAACGGTAGGTTACCCCCGTTGCAAGATGTGTCCTTTCTTGCTTTCCTAGTCATGGGAGGCACCCACTGTGTGAAAATAGCCGCTCGTGTCCTTCCAGATTTGCAATCGAAAGGTGATTTTGAGAAGCTGGCACTAAACAGTCATGGAAGACTAATGTATTTTCGTGCTTAATCTGGTCACAATTTGATCTTGTTGCTTTTTGGTAACAGATTATCAAAGATGCGTTGAACGAAGAAATTGTTTGGGAAAATACCAAAAAATTTCCTGCAGACATGTAAGTTGAGCCTTTATTTTCAAAACCAGACTAAGATACATTATCAAAGCTTGCAAAGATCCAATTCCATTTTACAATGGAAAGCAAATATGTAAAAATCGAAACAACGATACAATATATCGTAATTGTTTTAATTTGTGTTGTTTTGACATCCAGAAATACTTTGTTGTGAATTTTTTTTCGGTATGTTGAGCTTTCAACAATCTCATAGAAAGTCTGCAAGATCTGTCTCAAATTTAAAACTTGTTCCTTGAAACACTTTTCTTATTTGTAACTTGAAAGGGCGGACATGAAGATTTCAAAGAGGTATCAAGTTTATTTTTTCCTACAATATCAGGATTCATGAGAATTAATCATGTGCTTATGACCTCGCACGAGTTCAAAGCCAACTCCTAAATTTAACACAGTCAATATTGAACAATTTTAAATGATTTATGTCCGTGATAAGATCAAAATTCGCTTACCTTGAGTCGCAAAGAAGAAATCGTCGAAGTATCAGATAATCTTCTAGCTCGTTTAATTTGCCGTGTTGGATCGTTGAACTTTTCACGCAGTTTTCGCAAGATTTTTCCATCAAACTGTGAGCTGCAAAATATGGGTTGGAAAGTCACAGATTCCATCACAATAGGGCGTTCGTTTTTTCGCCTCATATTGTGCCCTTTAAAGTTCATCTTTCGTTTTTGAATTTATCGAGATTTCAGAATGTTCTTTAATGTTTATATCGGAGTCAATAAATAATGGCTTTGCGAAACGACGCCAAGTAAATTTTAATTTTTTTACCAAAATGCTTCGTAAGGGTTCTGTTTGCAAGTAAATCTTTTTCAATTCGTCTTTTTATGATGAAAGCTTAGAGAGAAAAGTGGCATGTCAATTTGTAGCTAAAAGCAACCAGCTGTTCAGGAAACCATGATATAAAGTTATGAGAAAAATAAATATTTCTGCATCATTTGGCAGCTGATATCACAAAGTGGAATTTCTATTCTGTGCTGAATGTTCTACTTCTACCTGATACAGGTTTGACTAACAACGATAAAAGGCCTAATTCCAATTGCTAATTAACTTTGGAATATTTCCTCACATAAATTGACGCAAAAATGTCCAGCACTTAGGTGCTTGGTGTCCAGGCAAATAGAGGAACGTGGAAACATCGGTTTTTATTTTTACCAACTTTTGTCTTCAAAGAAAATTGCATTTTAATTCCAACACATTTTTTGAACAGCCGGGCTTCATTTTTGGGTATTGAAAACTCCGTTCTCTTCTAAAAAGCAAACGAATCAAGAAAGATAAACAGTCTGTTTACCACGTTGATGACTGGCCTAGCCTGGGCAGAATTATGGCAGAACACAGCAGTAGTTTCAACACACTGCTTTTTACCAAGGTTCTGACGTCATTGGGGCGCCGTTGTGTTAACACGTTTCAAGAGTGGCTGTGTTTTTGCTGTGGCCAGGTCGTTTCTCCGCAGCAAACTAATTTATTTGGGCGAAGAGAGCAGTGGACTAAATTTATAAACACAAAAGCATTTGAGCACAATGATACAACCCAGTAAATTTAAGTCCAGGCTGACTGTTTTTAAATTTTTCGAAAATCTGAGGCTGGATTGTTCTTAAAAGGGTGTGAGCAGTGCAGTGCTTTCTGTTTTTAATAGGGTGTAAGTAATGCGAGTGCTAGCTTTTTCGCTCTTCAGGGCTCATTTGCCAACAAAGTAAATGAAACAATCTTCATTTGCGGACAGGTTTGAATATTCACCAAAAAACACCCACACGTCGCTGAAAATCCTCAATTTTGAAAAAAAAAACTTTGTTCAAAATTGCATTTTGCAGAAGCTCAATCTCAGCTTGTTATTAATTTGCTTTTAACTTTTGACCAATTTTGAGGCTCGTGTACTTATGTCAAAAATTTATTTACTTGTTGTCAATAAAATAGTAATGATAGCATTTGAACCGAAAGAATCTGATTGATCATGCTGCACATGGGGATATGTTGCACTGCCATACTTCTTGGAGAACAAGAAAAGTCTGCATATGTATCAATTATTCGAGGAATCGAATTCAGCCACAAAATGATTGCAACCCACAGAGTTTACTCTAGTAAACAAATAACAGGGGGGCTCAACCCCAATATTTTCACAAACACCCAGATAAGTATCTGCAAAAATCGCTCCCAAAATATCCATATCAATTATAAGCCCAGAGATATCTGGCTAGGCCATCAGGGAAACTGGGAACGAATGTTCACTGGCCGGTCCAACGTGGAACGAAATAATCTTTTTCTTAAAAATTTTCTTGTGTACTTTGGCAGCCTTTTCATGAAAAACAGGCCTCTAAAACCAGGCCAGGTAAAACCTAAACTGAATATCGATGATTCCTTAAATAGACCTTTAAAAATTCTAGGTGAGTTTTCAACCCAGAAAGATATGTCGAATATTCTGCTGCCTAAAAAGAAAATCTTTTTTCGAAATCCAAAAAACGAAAATTGAAAATATCGGACACAAAAAAAACAGATTCTATGTGCCCAAATGTTTTTAGGTGCACTCCCGGTGGGTTCCCCTATCAAAGTTCTCTATAAAATAAAACTACCCCGGTATCTCAGCCTCAAGAAATTTTTCAGGAGGGAGGAATCATTTTGTGAATGCAAAAAAGGTGTCAACAATTTTGATCGAAACATGTACATTAGGCATTCTTAAAAATTTGAGGATCATAAACACAACAAAATTCCCCATACCTTAAAACCCCATCACATCCAATCCTGTTTTGTTTGAAGCAATTTTCCTCTTTGATATATCTTTCTTGTTATGTTTGAGAAAGATGTGACTGTTTGTGAAGACTTTCTAAGGCTGACTGCTATTCCAGAACGTTTTTGTTTTAGACTGCTGTGATAGCAATGGACGACATACATTTGCAAGTCGCTCGAAGGGCATCAAGCACCTCACATCGGACAACCATGAGCGACAGTAGTGTTCGCAAACCCGCATCAATTTACGAGATCAACGAGCTGTATAGTGCGCTAAAAGATTTGGCTCAGTCGTCACCAGCACAGGGACATCGCAGGCAAAGAACACCGAGTGCGAATTTTGATTCCTCTGACTCCTGGACAAGTGGAACTGATTCACCGGACGTAAGGTCCAAAATGGGCAATGAGAAGAAAATCATGAAAGTCATTCGGTCATCGTCAAACATTGCTCAGAGGTAGAAGATTTCTTCATCAGCCAAAATATTTGTTTAATGATATATTTAAACGAATTTAAAAGAAAAATGTTAAAAAGCTACTACGTATTGGTGCTAAAAGCACGAAATTAGAGATGTAAGAATTAGCAAAGAACTTTTCACCGTTCTTTGCTAAATACCAGAGCATATACAGCCCTCTTTTGCAGCATCGACCGCTTTATAACAGATCGGTTAACATGCATGTTTTTTTTTAAATATATATTTCCTTTTTATTTTGCTTTAATAAAAAGAAAATTTGGGCACATGAAATGACTTATGTAATACACAAAGGGACAAAGCTTCTTTATTAATATCACGTAAGAAAAGTTTGTGTTATGGATTGCTTTCAGATTACCTGTGCTTGAATCACCCCGCACTAGAGTCAGGAGTGCGGGAACAAAACCCAGTATCTTGCCAAACAAGCGCGAAGCAGTTACTGGAAATAACATGGAGCTGTCGCCGAAGTTGATTTTGAGGAAGAGTAAATCGGATGCGTCGCGATTAAGATCAAGGAGCTCGGTTGATGGCTCGAAATCTATGGCAGAGAAAATACGAGACCAGAGGCTGAAGTAAGTGCGGGGAAAGTTTTGTGGCAAATGGCCCCTTAAGGGGAGCTAATACTTTCAGAGAAACTAATTATCTTTGAAGAGTTTCAAAAATTGAGAATTGGTTTTAAATATAGATTCTTTTACAAGAGCTTTTGCTTTTCTAAGTAACCTCGCTGTCCATATTCACCTGTTGGTCCTTGCTGGGAGGGTTTGCAAAAAAAGCTTCCTACGCGACATATGTAGCAACTCAGGTAAAATACCCATTACAGTACCCTGAGAAGCAGACCCAGATTTTAAAGGAAGCAGTGAAACACTATCCTGTAGGAGATAATGCTATAATAACTTAAAAGGTCACGTTTAAGTCATAGAGTTTAGTTTGATTGGTTTGTGACACAGCTCTGTTCGTTTTGGATTGCTAACTGGGACTTTCTATTCTTGGGTAAAAGTTTTGCTATACTCGATACCTTGTTTAGGAGACTCATTAACCTTTGCAATGTTCTATACACCTTGGCCCCAAACTATCTAGTTGACCTCTTTGAAAACCCTCTTTAAAATACAAACAGAGCTTTGAGATCTACAAAAGCAAATGTTAAAAATCCTTAATGACAACAGATGCAAGGGGCAAATATCCCGTTCACAGCGTAGCTGTAGACACCACAATGAGCTAAATACAGAAACCAAACTTTCAACTTCCCAGGAAACCTTCAAGAAACATGGTTTTGATTGTTAACCTTGAAGTTCCTCTAAGTTATGTCAATCTAAGTTAATAGAAGATATTTTAAGTAGGTTAGGATTTTAGCATTCTGGTATCTGAAAACATGTATCAAAATCAGTAGCAGTGTCTGCAGTATCTATTTACTGATAGCCTGTTAACTTGGCTGGATATTATCAAATTAATTTTTAGCTAACCTATCTATTTGCAGGTTCACGCAAGGCTTACGGAAAAAAGAAATTGAAGAAGAAAGGGAATGTATTGATTTCGACAAAGAAATCCAAAATATCAATGATCTGCTGGAATGGGCCAAAATGGACGAACCAAAACCAGCTCAGGAGCAAAAGAAGAGGCGGAAAAAGCCAGGACAGCGGAAGCGTGTTGGGTCGTTAATTGAGTCCACTTGTAGAATTAGGCCGAATTTCTCCGACTCCAACTTGAGATATTCTGATGTGACGTCACGAATAGACCGCTGGTATGAGCGGGCCTCCGCAGTGGCATTAGGTGAAATTAAAGATGAGTGCGAGATTTATGAAAGCTTTTCAAGCTCAGAATCGGACGACTCGCCCAAAGAAAGTTCTCCAATAAAAAAGGGGAAATCGTTAGATGGTATTGACTTGGAGTTGGATAGCTTCACTGCTGATGATTTACTTAGCAAATGGATGCAACAGAAGAAAAGCAGCTTAATCGCGGAAGACAGAGGTCGATCAAGCTCTGACGCATCCGTGGAACCGCGGTCTTTGGATTCCTCGGTGCTGTCAATCGGTAAAGATGATGGGTCTCCAGAACGAGCCAATAGTGTTTCTCCATTAGTCGTCAACCGAATCATTGTATCACAACCCAGTGTTGACGATCAAACTCAAGGCAATGGGGAGTCTCCGGTCGACATTTTGCCAAACCAACCGATTTTCTATATCCCGAACTTTACAGATCACATGAAATCCAACACAACAATAATAAGCGAAGACGTAGCCTCAGGAAATGCTTTGCTGTCGCCGGCTAGGCCCAGAAGCCGAAGCGCAATCAGCATGGGGGAGACTTTTGACCAACGTGATGAAGCTGCTTGGAAGCAGATCCAGAAAATGTCAGAAAAGAGGTCGAAGTCATTTGGAACTGTCAACAGGCGGGGAAGCATGGATGCAGCTATGAAGCAGGATGTACAGGAGCGGTTGCTAAGGACGACAAGCGACTATAGAAGAAAGAGTCCCAGGCCCAGATCCCTTACTCTAGGTAAAGACAATAATGAGAAAACCCCATCCAATGAACGCCATGAAAATTTGTATCTTGATGAGAAAGACTTTGGCCATACGGACAACAATGCAAATATTTTTAACACAGACAAGAAGCGCGACAAGGGTCGAAAGTTTTCGAAGTTTCCAGGTAAAAGTCAGCTAGTGAATATTATTCACGGAAATGTTTTACCAGCCAGTTCTTTGTGGTTGTGATATAACTGGGGGAAAACTTGTAAAAAAGATCCCATTTTATAGAGAGTTTTCATAGACATAAAGGGTGTTGTCAGAGCATTCTAATATATTTTCATGTACAACTGTTGAAAAATATATCGCTCAACGCATTAGGTAAATTGCAACACCCTCTCTTTGGCAACAATGCTCATGGCAACAATGTTCTGGGAGAAAAAATGACTTGTCCTGTGAATTCGATGCCTAGACAGCACGGATCGAACAACAGTTTCTCACAACTTACAAATCTCTAATCTCTAACCATTAATTGAATCTAAACCTCTTCTCGCTGAATCGTTGACCATATATCTCCGATTTAGAATAGAACTGTGTAGGGAGGTGGCATCTAAAAACAACTGACTAGGTTGGAAAAAAGCTATAACATACTGCTGGCAGCTTTCCTTTTCCATTTTCTGTTTTTATAAGAAGTCACCCTATAATTATAATTTCCCAACATAATATTGATTGTAGCCTCCTTTGAAGGAAAAACCTCGCTTGTTCTTTCTTGCAAGATAAATTTTACGCATTGTGGTTTTAATGTCGTTGACAGACTTTTTCACATTCTAAACTTGAAACAAAGAAACTACTGCCATCGTAGCATCTGCTAAATGATTTTTTGGAACATGAAAATGAAGACAATTCAGCCTCTGTGATTTTAATACAAAATATCCCAAAGAAAGGTTATGAATTATCACAGGAATTTTTTAGGGGGGGGGGAGTACTCCGAAAGTAGAAAAGAACGAAATTGGGACATTAGAATAAATATCAGGACAAAATGTAGGCCCCTTTGACCATTTTTCGTCGATTAATTAAATTTCATTTTTTTATTTCAGGTAAACTGAAAACCTTGTTATCTGGAAAAAAGACCTGAACAAAAGATCGCTGATTTTTTACTGTTAAGGTTTTACTCCATTTTGTAACCTAATTTCAAAGTCAGAAAGGTAGAGTTCTTAATTCATAATTATCAGAATTGTATCAGAAACACTGACCTAGCTAGGATAAGCATTTCTTTTCTGTACATAGTTTGGTTTTTCAGCTTGTTCTCGTGTCACAGCTAACAGATACAGGTGGATGTTTTAATCCTCACTCCGATCAATCAGGTCGATAGCTAACGTAAACAAATGTTACAAAAGAGAGGGCTGGGAACGAACAAAACATCTTTATTTGAAGAGCATTAACAAACCCTCAAGGAGACGATAAAATCAAGCAAATGCCGCCATCTGCAGCCCATAACATTTTCGAGTTGCATGGATGTATTTAGGCTTTATAAACAAATTTTTTTCTTCAAAGTTGTTTCCCAAGGATAAGCGAATAGCTGAATTTTCCAGTACAATATGTTTTGCTTTTAGTTTGCTTTTGTTTTGCAATAAGTTAGGTTTCTAGTAATAGAGAAAAAAACTTGGAAAAGCATCAAGAAAACATCAAATTGTTGGTCCTTTTATCAGCATAGACCGGGGCTTACCACTATTTCTCCTTTCCAAATTACAGGGAGACTACACGAGAGGCACAGATAGCACGATGTTTGAGGCGAGGGAAACATGTTTTGTCTTTTCCGGCCTGTTCTGTGCGCTTTTGTGAGCCTTTGCCGTGGTCGGAAGGGTTGGGTTAAGGTGATTTAGCAAGGTTGAATGACTTGGCTCAGCGTAGCCCAATATAATCGAATTGATGCCCTGTTGTTTGAAAACGAGGTTCACCTAAACGAGGGTAGTAGTGACATCGAGTTTTTACATTTCGTAATATCAAGCTCTTTGTAGATTGTTGTTTTTAGCATGGTTTTCAGAATTGTTTTTCAACATTTAATTCTTAATAAACAAAGTACATTGCTTCATCATTGTTGCACTCAGTGGGTGTTTTAGTAAAGGCATTTTAGGCCTATAATTTTCTCTATTTGACAAGTACATTAAATTGTGTTACAAATACATTTCCGTTTCCGTTATTGCATCAACGCTTAATTCTACATGCTCTTCGTGTATTTTTTGTCTTTTCAACTGAACCGTTTGGTAATATGACGAGAGAAATATCGTGTGGTTGGGAGCTGTTTAGTTTTCGGTGGATATGCTCGCGGGGCGATTCACTCTTGCAAATAGCGTACGAGATTTTGCTTAAAAAAAAGGATTTCTGAGAATTTCCAGATAAAACAATAGGATTTTCACAAAAGGTGTACGAGATTTTCTTAGAGTGATTTGCCCCTCGGATATGCTGGTAGATAGAGGTTGCCATGTTTTGCTCATCCTCAGTTTGATGTAAAATGACAATGAAGTAACTGTTCCCAAAGCTTTCTTCACGATAGTTATACGCGTCAAAAAATAAAAAAAATTACACTTAAGATAAATTCACATTTCCAGTGTACTACACGCTTTTTTTTTTATAAGGAACCGTTTATAAGGAACCTACATGTAGAAGGTCAAAAAACTTAAGGAACTTTTACTACTAAAGGCCAAATCCCTAAGGAACTTTTTAATTTTGAATATATTTATATTTCCGCACAATTTACAATTAGGAAGCCGGTTCCATTGATTTTCAGTAAAACCGGCCATGCTCATGGGGCCAAGAATCAACATGAGAAATTTCCGTTTTAACTCACCTCACATGCAGCTGTGCTTTGTTGTGAATTCACACTTTAGGTGTTTTAGTTTTAGTCAAATAGGTTAGTCACAACAAAATAGAATTCTTATTCTGTGTGTGTGGCTGAGTATTACAGTAGTTGCAATATGGGAGATAAGAAAAAGCAGTCAACGTTGTTCAAGTTCGGTTTTTCTAAAAAGATACCTCATCGAAATGAGTTACAAGAAGTCCCTGGTCGTTCGTTTGTTGAGGATGATGATGTAAGTTTGTATCGTTGTGACACATGCAACAAGCATTTCAAAAGTAAGTCTGGCCTTACGATGCACGTGTCTTGGTGCACTTCGAAAAAAGACAGTGAGAGAGAAAAAGAACAACCAACTAAAAAAATCGATGAAATTCCATTGATCTTGGAAAGTAGCGCCGAGGCTGTTGAGCCACAAAAAGAACCAACTGCTATTGATGTGGATGAGAACATCGAAGAAACTGTAGAGGAATGTCAAGAGATAGAGAAAAGTGCTAGAGCGTCAGAAGCAGGAGAAAGCAGTCAGCACCATCGAGAGAAGAAGAACAGACTATCTTATGACACCGAATTTAAGCTAAAAGTTATCGAGGAAGCAAAGAAAAACCAAAAGAATGACGTTGCATTCAAATACAACATCTCTAAATCGATGGTATCGACCTGGGTTAAAAATGAGAAGAAAATTACTGATGCAGCCGCCGATAGCCACAGGAAAATGATGAAAAAGATCAGACCCAGCACAAGGCATAAGCAAGTCTTCGTGATGCTTCACGAAAAGTTCCTACAAGCAAGATCAAAGGGGATGCGAATATCTTTTGCATGGCTGTACGCAAATGCTAGGAAGATTAACCCCGAATTCGACCAAACTGCCCAATCAGATATTAAAGCTATCCCGAAATCTGCAGTCTTCAACTTTATCAGGAAGTACAAAATCAAGTTGAGGAGAATTCAGCGTAAGAAAAGGGCTGAGAAAACGAGCTTCTTGCCAGGCATGATTGGTTGGCACACAACTTTGCGCGAAGGCTTGATCAAGACAGGAAACGCAAAGCCTTCCTATGACAGCAAATGGGGGAGATTCCGACCATCTAAACGCTTCAACGTTGACCAAGTTCCTATGCCGTTTGCGGTCGATTGTAAAACAACATACGAAAAACACTTTCCGCGCGGAGAACAAAGAAACCATCGAACCTGGGTCAGGTAAACCGCTTTCTGCTTTTTGTTTAAACTCTTTCCAGACTGGGCCTTTTAAAAAATTAATTTGGAAATATTATAAAAATTGGGGGGCTGCTCATTTGTCCACTCCTTCTAAAATTGCTATCTTTAATTCTTTTTCAGCACACCGGGACCGGGACTTGATAAGCGGCAGTGCACGTTACAAATCTGCTTTGCAGCCGAAGGACCGCCAGTCAAAATTGCAATTATTTTCCGTGGAACAGGGAAAAGAATCAGCCAGGATGAAATACAGGCATACCACAAAGACGTGGATGTTTACTGGCAGACAAACGCCTGGGCAGACATCAATTTCAGCATCGACTGGGTGAAGAGAACTCTGAAACCAGCTGTCCAAAATTCTTCCGAAACAGGTGAAAATGAAGAATTCGTTCTTTTCTGCGACAACTTAAGTGCGCAAACTAATGATCTGTTTCTGAGTAAGGTCAGAAAATTAAATGGTGTTGTTTGGTTCGGTTTGGCCGGTGCGACAGACATCTGGCAACCTGTAGATTGTGGCTTTGGAAACATGCTGAAGTCTTTGGTTCGAACCCTCCAAGATGAGTGGCTGCAAAGTGACGAAAATAT